AGAAAAGTGGATGAAAAGATAGGTTGCCATTTGCAGGAACCGAGCCTGCGATTTTCAAATAACGCGTTCAATGTTTCACCAATATACCTACGACGGCGACCATTCCCTTATTCATTTTAGGGGTACTAGGTAGCCCACGCCCAGAGACTTCGGAGCATGACATCTTATTATTTTCAGCTGCCACGGCGAGTAGCACTCAAAGCTTGAAAAGGGAGCGTTGACCACAAAGAAGAGACTTCCTGTTGTGCACAATTATGTGAAAGTTGCGAGTTGCGATGTTGCTGTTCTTTCGCCACCACTGTCCATTGTTTCGCGTTGTATTTGATGCAGGCTACAAGACGTAATCTAATGTAAAGTTACATTGTTTAGTCGGAATACTGTGATGCTTGGTGACCACATTACTGTCAGTACTGTACTGCAGCACTATAGGTGCTATGCTCTGTAATGCAGAGATTGCAGTGTGATAAATGAATCCTTCAATCAGTTTAGAGAAGATGAAGTATTTTGATTGTTGTAGCAATCCACGCTTACTCGTTTGTATTGGTATGAAAGAAGATACCTGAAAAACTGTTCACATTCTTATGTGATAATATTTTGCAGGATGTTGAGTACAGAAGGAAGGGAAAGAGGAACGTAACAGTAAAAAAATAAACGTGAGCACGGTCCTACTACGAGGGTAAGTAATAATGAAACGTATTAAAGCATACGTGGTGTTGCTTTCGAGAGCCACGCCATGTTTTTATATAGAGACTCCCACTCCAGTCCACTTTAAATTTGAACAGCGTGCCCAGTCCCTTGACTTTTTTGAATCCAGATTTCACCCTTGAGGTGGGAGGTGATGGGCCGCTTGTTTAGCGTCCATCGTTACAGGGTAATAGCATTATTCGTACGTGCCATCATGTTTTGTAAGTCTCTGCAATCTGTTTTCTCTTCGGAGCACATTGGGCTGGACGTTCGTATGATTTTACATGCTGTCGGTACCACTTGAAAGAAAAAAAAACTGAATATACAATAGTCAGCGGTAGCCTGATAAACACGCGCTCGCCCTTAGAAGAAGTCTTATTTTTCTTGTTCTACAATCGCCTTGATTTTAACGTTTCGTGCGTACATTACTACTATGTTTAGGGAAATACAACACAAACCACGTAAACGAATTTTTTTCATTTACGGATACTGCAGGCCCATCATGGGCCCTAGCAGGTGGAGAAAAAGTGCACTTGTAAACGCTAGAGATATACACACAGTGCTTTGAAAGTAAAAATAAATAGAAAGAGGACAGTGTTTAATTAGTACAGAATAATTCAAAAGTAATAACCCCCTGAACATCTAAAAAAGTGTAGGAAAACAACATGCGATATTCACACAACAAAGCAACATTACTAAAGTGATATATAGACAACAATAATAAAGCAATATGAACACGACACAAGGAACGTTACTAACATAACCTAACATCCATCCTGAAGACTCTCGATTGCTTTTGTACTTAGCACTGATAATATTGGCAGTGAGTTCCAGTCGTTAATTGTTCGCGCAAATAAATGAGAGCTTGAATTGGTTAGTTTTGGTGCTGTATGAAGTAAGTGATTCATTATGTTGATGCCTGGTAGTTCGTGACGTCCATGGTGTCCTAGGGCTCAGGGGGAAGTAGCATATTACGATTTTTCAGATGAAACAGACATTTTATTCTGTCAATTTTTTCGTATTTGCAAAGATTTATTGTCGTAAAGATTCATTAGTTGAGTAGAAAAATAAGTTTGCGGTATTTGGAATAAATAAATTTAACTGAATTTCGTTGAATTATCTCCGATGCTTCAAAGTTCTTTGTCTTATGTGTGTCTCAGACAGTGGATGCGTATTCAAGCTTGGATCTTATAATAAACGAATATGCGAGAAGTTAGACTTCAGGTGGTGTGTGTTAACTTATGTCGCAAAAAGCATACCTTATGGAAGGCGAATGAACACATGCTTGGAATATGGGTGTTACAACTGAGTGTACTAGGTATTATGATGTCGAGGTATTAGTAGAGGGGAACCTTTGTTAGCCGTACTAAAGGGAGACTATAAGAAACGGTTAAAGTCTTTTTATTTCTACTCATCTTCATCAAAACCGTTTTGTCTGCGTTAAGTTGCGTTTCCTACTCTTGAAACTAAATTTGTATGTTTTTTTCAAGTTTGTAGCCAGCAAAGCTTAATCGTCCGAGCATTCATATTAAAAAAAGCAAGCAATCATTTGCGAAAAGCCTTATCTGAACAGGTTCACTATTCACCTGGATGATGTCGCTAATGTGTATGAGTAGCAAGGGTGAACCTAGTTCGCTTCCTTGTGAGACTGCTAATTTAACAAGCAAGTGGCATGAAAAATGATTGTCAATACTTAGAAACTGTGTGCGGTTTTCAAGGTATGCTGAAACCCAAGCAGCAATGGACTCCAGTAGTGCTAAGGTTTTCAACTATAAAATTAGTTTCGTATGGCCAACAAGATCAAACTTTTTCCTAAATTGTTAAACAATTTCACCTACCAGGCCTGATTTACCCACATTAGAGGCAAAATTATAGATGACTGTGAATTATTGAGCTACTATAGGAAGAAAATTCCTAAAACCATGCTGGAATTGAGAGAGTGCACTGTTATCATTACAAAAAATTTGTAATATAGGTAGTGATAAGTTCAAGGAGCTTACAGCTAGATGCTGTTAAAGATATTGGTCTATAGTTTGGTGGTTAGCTGACATTAACTTTTTTAGCACTGGTAAGTTTCTTGCCGTCCTCCAGCCTTCAAGAATTATAGCTCTCGTCAAAAAGTTTCAAAAATAATTACTAGATATGTAGCGAACATATCGATAAAGCAAACGATCAGCTACATTGTCAGGGCCAGGTGATGCTTTTGCTTTAAGGTTTATTAACATTCATATAAAACCAGATAACGATACAAGATTTGTTTCGGTACAAGTGACAAGGGTTCAGTAGGATTTGAAAGGACACCATAAAAATAGGCATTAAATTTTTTAGCGATGTCTTGCTTAACAACGATGACAACGTCGTCCTATAAAATGTGCTCAATGGACTTCCTACTTCTCGAACGAAATTGCCAGACCTTTTGCGGTGAATGAGAAATAAAACTAGGCAGCGTGCGATTAAAACAGCTCTACATTTGTGCTACTTATTGCTTTGTTTAAAATTTTCTGTTTATAGTGTAACGTGCTCGTGTTGGCGCAGTGCCATTTTAATCTTTTGTTTTCTTTTTAGCTGCAACACACATTTTCTATTCCGAGTGTTTTCATGGTTTGTTTATTTAGTTTTATTTGGAACGAAGTTTTCAAGACAATATCTACACAAATCCTTAACCATCCCCAAAGGTCAGTAGTGCCCCAATAAGTACTGATGTCCAAATCAAGAAGGTCGATGACAATTTCATCGTTCGCCCGCGAAAAGTTTTTGTCAATATTGAATGGAGACGCTGAGGTTTTCATGTTCTAAGAGAACACATAGGAAGCACCGTTTTATGGTCGGAAAGAGCAGGTTGCATAGCCTCAGAGAAATCAATATTACAACGGCTGATAAAACTGATGCAAAGCGTCGAAGTACAGTTGCTTGGTTGTGGGTAGGTTGATCAACTACTTGTTGTACGTCAGCAGTGTGCATTATATAGGTCAGGTATGTGAAATGTGGGCTTGTTTTATGGTTAAAAAATGGCTGATTTTAGTCACTGCCTGTTAGATTGATACCTACTGCCAAAATCTATAGTAATCTGTAAATGAAGCTGTATGTCGACATAGCTGCCGCCGAAAATCAGGAGATGAGTCAGGTGCACGATATATGGCACAAAGCATAAAAGATGACACTTTTATGACACTTTTAAGGTGACGCTTTCATGGTTATCAATTTGGCTGGCTTGAAAGAGAGATACACTATTTTTCACCGGAACAGCCACTCCACGTCCACGTGACGGCCTATCACGATGGAATAGATTATACGATGGTGGAAAAACATCGGCACTAATAATAGCATTGTGTAACCAAGTTTCTGATGTGGCTATGTAGTGGAGTGACATAAAAGTACCGCTTAAAGTTATGCGCTTTTTTTAGGATGCTACGCCTATTTATGTTGATGATTCGTAGATTCTTATTACCAACTGGGTGGCATCATCTGTTATTAGCTCTTTTTTGATGACTCTGAGTGCTTATTCTCGAGTTGCTAATTTCATCACAGCTAAAGCGTTCGCCACCGATACTCAGCTTGTCGTGCAGTTGAAAAATTTTCTTGCCCTACTGCTTTTCACTTTTTGCGCTATTCCGGAGATTTTTTTTTCCTCGTGTGTCTTGTGAGTAGTCATTCTGAATTGAAAGTAGAAGCAAGAAAAAATATAAAGAGTAAAAGAAAAACCAGTAGAAAATACAAATATTATAAATAAAGTAAAAAAACGAACCAAGATGGCTGGCAAAGAGAACAAAGAGAAAGAGGGCAGAAGGAAGGAGGAAACAGAAGTATACAAGCAAAGTTGCCCTAGAGGTGCCGCCTGGTTTGGTCCCACTGGCGCAATGTTGCCTAATTTTTTTTGCTTTTTAAAGTTGGCCTATACATCAGCCGAGTATGCCCCTAAAACTGCAGTTGCACGAAGAAAAAACAAGATTGCGCCTTCCATCTGTGAACTCTGCGATCGAAGGCGGATACACTCCAAAAAATATAATGCAGATTTAGGTCGGCATGCAGGAAGCAACGCTGATGCTATCGCCAGCAGCCATGAGAAGTAATCTCTTACCTTTGCGTGACAAATACGTGAGCTGATGATTCCAGAGAAATTACAAAGATAAAGAATAGCTGGCCCAGCATAGGGGTGTCGTCTCTTTGTCTCAATTATTGCAGTATACAGTAAGGCACAAGTGATCTTCATTTGCCGAGGAATCGCCTGCACTCTGCATAGATAAGACGCCCGAGCATGATCATGGGTCTGATTAGCAGGCAGAAGTGGTATGATCTGCATGAATTAATCTGTCGATAGGTATTTTAGGACCAAGTGATACATCGAAGGGCGCCAATATATGCGTAAGGTATTGGAGCGTAAACCTCACTGAAATCATCAGGAACTGTGCGTCCTGTGTGCACCTATACTGCTACAACCATCTTCAAAGCGGTGAGTGTAATGAGGCGTAATCGTACCGCAGATGCTATTGAGCACAGTTTCAAGCATTTACCAATACATTTCAAGGTTACGCAGCAATAAATATGACCTTATTCAACAGCATTTTGAGTCACGCTCGTTGCAAATGACTAGTAGTTTCACAGGAATTTCAAATGATTGTATGTAGCGGTTATATTTCGTGGGCGACGCATATATATATATATATATATATATATATATATAGAAAGTGGAGGATGAGCGCTTCACTTGTGCAAAAGATTGCGTTGCCGTGAAAACAAGGATAGGCCTCGCTGTCGGGCTCTTCTTTTAAGTCCTCGCTGGCTCTCGCCATCCTTTCAGCCCTCCTGACTAGCCCCTGTTTATCCCCAAGTGCAGGGATGGACAGCAGGAGAATCTTTTACTTTTCCTACTTTTTAGCAGAGTACTGGCCTTCACCAGAGAAAACATAATGAAGGCCGATGCTGAAACATACGAAAAATACAAAGTGTTTGCTCCGTCCGTCCCTCATTTCATAGGAATGACTGATGATGTTTGATATGTAGGGCTTAACGTCATAAAACCATAATATGATAATGAGAGACGCCTAGTGGAGGGCTCCAAAAATTTAGACCACATGGGAATCTGTTATATGCACCCGAATCTAAGCACAAGGGATTTCAGATTGTCGCCTCCACCGAAAATGCAGGTCGATCCCGCGACCCATTTTATAGTAATGTCCCACTGGATACACGAACACCTTCTATATATATATATATATATATATATATATATATATATATATATATATATATATATATATATATATATATATATATATATATATATATATATATATATATATATATATATATATATTAGTGGACAGCTAGCGCGATAATTATTGGGCGTGACTCTTGGTCTCAGTTTGATTTCTTACAATATATACATATATATATAGATATATTGTCATAACCAAGAAAGACGCTGGCGCTTCGGCTCGTGGGCAGCTAAGGGAAAGTAGAGGAAGATGAAGACAGAATAAGAACAGAGCAAGAAAGCTCCGCTACACTTGATGACAAGGTGCACTCCCACAGTCACACTCCCACGATCCCGATCACATCGGCAGACAGGTGCTCGAAGACGGGAACAGCTGCGAGAAATTCGTTCCCAACGTCAGTTTGTAGCTGCATGTCTAATGCGCCGACAGGTAATACACTGCCGCTGAGGCCACAGAGGGGGGCCTTGGTCTAAGGCTGGAGGTCGACTGGTGCGTAACGTCGAAGCAGTGCCATGAGTTGCGTTCCAGTATCTACCAGAGTCGTCAGCTCCCCATTGCCGTCGACGCAGATGCGAACTGATGGAAGCAGCCACGTTTAGTATACTCCATTTCTTTATGCGTTGCTTGTGTGGCGCTGTCATAATTATGTGCACAATGCCTGCAAGGTTGCATTCAGACCGCAGGGACGTGCCGTTTTGCAGTATCCAGCACGACTGCCGCCTTTCGCGTGAAAGTCTCAAAGCTATTTTGTGCTGTATATATAGGCAGCATGGCCGCGTGCGTCGAGTTGCAGATCCCATCGACGATGTACTGTCTGATTGCTGGAGATGCCCAGGCAATATCACTTGCACTTAGGAGGCGTAGTTGGTCGTATAGATAGGTGGTTGCGTCTTCCTTTGGACATTGCTGGCACGCTCGCATCTCCATGAAGCGAGTGTCAAAGACGCCCGAAAGCGGTGAAAACATGGCCGTCAGGGCAGTGCTCCAAGTAGACCACGAGGCAAACGTGCTTCCCTGAAAGCAATGTCAGGCTTGGGCAGCTCCTCGAAGACGACATTCAGCGATCGCTTTCTTGGTGGGCTCCGGCAAGAATACTTGAGCGCAACAAAGTCGACTGTGCGGATCCACGTGGTGCTTTTTATGCGCAGCAGAGTCGACTGCGTCGATCTAGGTGGCGGGGTCGTTCTCACAACCATGGAACTCCAGGATATTCATCTGATGGTTTTCAGTAAGATCGGTGCACCAAATACCGGAAGTAGAACAGCTTTCTGTCTTGTTGAGCTGCAAGACAGAAAGCAACAATATCGGCATTGGAGTACTGCCATGGAGCCGCCGTGGAGGCCTTGACGCCATCCTCGAGCTGCGGGAATACTCGTCCGGTTTGAAAGGCCGTGAATGTAGGTTGGGTGATGTGTAGCGAGGCGTCATTGTAACGACTGAGACGATACCCGTATTCTGGGCAGGCTGTTCAGCTCTGTGCCGGTCAGCAGCCCACAACTCAGTTCTCTCCTTCAGCTTCGGTGATCACATAATATATACATATATATATATATATATATATATATATATATATATATATATATATATATATATATATATATAGTATATATATATATATATATATATATATATATAATATATATGTATGTATATATTGAGCGTCATTACTCGTTCCATCTTTTCATCTGTACATACTCATCATCACCACTCCAGTTTAGGTTGTGGGGCACATACTCGAGACAATAAAGAAGAGTCTTGAGGGTACTGGACGCCATCTTACAAGTGGTGGAGGTGCTGGGTATGTACAGATGAAAAGATGGAACGAGTAATGATATATATTATATATATATATTATATATATATATATATATATATATATATAATATATATATATATTATTATAAATATATATATATATATAAATATAAATATATATTTATATATATATATATATATATATATATACACGCCTCGTCGTTTCTTCAGAGTGGGCACGGGCGCACGAGTGCCTGTGTTCACTTTGAAGAAACGACAAAACCTACAACAGCTGTTGCTTCAAACAAATGTTCCAGCTCTCACTACAGCACCTCAGTTAGCGCCGTTCACCCCATGACGCCACCCGTGCGTAAGGCTGCTGCTTCGAAGCCCAAGGTTCACTTTGAGATGGTGTGAAATTTTTACCTAGCCCGTCAGGGATACCGAAGCTAGTAGCGAATGATTTTGGTTCGGCAGCAAGAAGTTGCTATATGGTGTGCTCTTTTCGCTGCTCAGTCTTAAGGTATTGGTATCGGGAAACGGTTGGTCCAGTGATGCAATGTAGGTGTCGAAGTTGCGTCAGGTACTGCTGCTAGAAGCGGCAGACAGAAAAGACAATGTGCATCAGCCTGACTTACACGAACTTTATAGAAAAGCCATAAAGTTACATTTCTGCAGACGAAGTGCCCCACGCGCAAGTCGACCCGATGAGTCACGCAGATTGACCAACTGGCCGAGAGGATGATGACGTGTCACGATGGCGAAGGATCTCCCGTATAGGTGGGACCGGAAGTGCTGCATTGCAAATACTACTGCAAGGTATTCTTGCTTTATGGCGGTGTAGTTATGCTGAGGCTTGCTTAGAGAGCGGCTTGCAGATACTAAGACGTGTTTTTTTTATATCTGAGCGTTAACCGTCTCTAATATCTACGTCAATACCGCTAGCGTCTGTGTGAAGATCTGTGGGAACCAGAGAATTGTGTGAGAGAATAGGATGGGACGTGAAAACAAACCTCCACTTAAGCAAAGCGAACGCATATTCTTGGGTACAGTCATACCGAAAGCTTTTTCGAAGCAGGCACATGCAGGGGCGCACAATATTATCAAACCAACAAATGTATCGACGGAAGCATGAGCATAAGCCCGAAAAGCTGCTCAGTTTTTCTACTGAGTGAGGCTGTTTAACGCCTCGACTGTGGCCGTGCTCGCAGGATCTGGTCGTATGCATTCTTTGCCCACTAAGCCTCCAGGGACGAACGTTCGACAGTGCATAAAACGACATTTCTTTGAGTTGAGCACCAAGCGTGCTTTTCTTAGGCAACTGAGCCTGATGTTAAGGCATGTGTTGTGCTCACAGGTGTGTCTAAAATCACTATATCGTCCAAATAACAAATGCAATCTTTTCACTTAAAACCACGCACAATGTATGCCATGAGGCACTCAAAAGTTGTAGGTGCCTAGCACAGCTCAAAGGGCATCATATGAATTCATGAGGTCCATCTTGTGTAACAAACACCATTTTCTTTTCGTCGTCGTAATGCATTGGAATCGGTCAGTAACCTGATTTTAAATCAACAGACAAAAAGTAGGAGGCAGGAGAGAGGCAGACTAAGGATCACAATCCACTGTAGTAGGTATGCGTCCTTTAAGATAATGGCGTGCAGACGACGGTAGTCAACGTGTATTCGCCATGTCTCATCACTCTTGATTACAATTACTGGATTGACCCGTGGACGACTTCATTCTTAAATTACATTTTTCTCGAGCATCTCGCAATCCTGTTCATTGATCACTGCGAGTTCCTAAGCAGATACACGCCATGTTTTTTGTCGGAGAGGTCTGTGGGAGATCTATCTATGTGGTGTTTTTTACGAGAAGCAAGGATTGAGGGTAGAGCCTGCAGTTGTGCGAACTTGAAACTACTGGCGTGTTTGCGCAGAATATTTGCCAAGTCACTACGCTTATCGGTGCGGAGTGACTTGCCCATTATAGCCATCATAGAGGTATCGCTGGCGTGCAAACTTTCAAAACAGGTCATCTATTCTTGGGAATTGCTGCTCTCTGTTAGAATGGCTACTGAGAATACTGCATGATCATGAATCAAAATACGGCAACATTTAGACCTGTCTGCGGTACCGTCGGCTCATCGTTGCAGTTCCTTGCAGTTCCTCGCACATAATGCAGTAATTCTTTGCACAACTGACAGCAATTAGCAGGGTATGAAACAGTCTTCATGAAGGAACTGAGCTCAACTGACTCCATATTAGCTTGAAATGTTTTCTCGGTGGCAGTGGAACAGGCGACAGATACAAACTTGGCAGACAATGGTGGCAGAGTTATGTCCACGAAAACAGGAAGGGCGCTTTTCTGACAGGGTTGGTTTTCGATAAGCAAAATTGGAACATCCGCATATACTGGATGTTCCAATGATAACACGCACGGCGAAGTTATCATGTTCCAATGATAACTTCGCCATCAA